TTATATTTGAAAGCCCATTTACTTACTTGAACTGTTACATGTTCCACAGATGGAGGTGAAAAACAAAACAAGTGGCCGGAGGCATGTGGTGATGAAAATTACAAAAAGTGGTGCTAATTTTGTTATAGTACTTGTAACAAAATTGGCACGTCTTTTTTGAAAATTTGCATCCACATATCTCCACTACTATTTAATGAATATCAGCGAAACTTCAATAAGACATTTCTCATATGTGGAAGAACTTGTGTGAAAAGTTTCGATAAGATCAGTTGCCTGCGCAAAAGATATGGTCATTTGTCTTTCTGTAGATGCTGGTCCGTGCTAACTACTGTAGGTACACGTGAATTTCAAATTTACTCATTTTTTGGAATATGGGATCATGTCTAACTTCCGTGATATTGGGTCGATTTACAYCAAACTTTCAGGATGKTCGTATCTTGAATAGACAAACATGTTTGTAACATTTGGTGGAGATCTATGCGCATGCGCAAAAGTTGAAAAAATAATGGTCAGCGGTTTTTCTCTTAGAAACATGGACCCAACCGTTTGTTATGAGAAAAGAAACTTGAAMTCACGTAGTTTTATATAACTTCGACTTSTCTGAATCACTTATATTGATTTAACATGATTGCACGACTTTATATCAAGGTATATATCACAATTGAGCCTGCGCGGTATGCACGTATGCATTACAATAACCCAAAACGGGTCTAGTTCAACGTCATAAAACTTTTTAAAGAAGACATTATAAACCAACCACAAAYGGTGTATAACGAAATGTTTGAAAGTTCGTTTAGTTTTGCTTTTAATCCTTAAAATGGTGGAAAAGTTTGCATCTGGACGCCTTAGGAGAGTTCCTAAAATCTGACTGTATGTATCCAATTGATTAAATGGTCCATTCAGACACTGTAAAGCTCACTTGCAAGATGTGGACAGCCTGATCCCATGTAATGTATTACATGCTTGAACATTATAAAGCAATAGGATAATCTTATGATTTCGGCAGGTGCATTATTGGCTTTTCTAAACGGGAGAATGAGATGATTACTTTAAGACACAATGAATAATCTTCTGAAAGATACTGCACTACTGAGCAAATTTCTTAATCCGCATTTCATTCCTGACACACGCAGCAACAACATGCAAAGAAACAAACGCGAACAGACAGTACAAAAAAACACACACAAAAACACCTAGCAGTCAAGTTMCAGTAACAAGCCTAGTGAGATGTAAGCGCAGTACATGCATCAATTAATTATAGTCCTTTATCGAGGAACAGCTCCTTTACACCCTTTTCCTTTACCCCGACGACCAAAGTGTTGTATGATACTTCAGTAAGTGCGTGTTCTATCGTTTTTCATTCTTGACAGTAGCCCACATTAACAGGAACACCCGCCCAACACCGGTATCACAGTTGTGGGAAGTCGCGATGATGATGATGATAATGCAGGTGCAGGTGCAGATGATGATGCCATGACGATACAAATTAAGGAAAGTTTTGAAAGAAATAGATCTCTGGAGAGGGTGCGCACCCCCTGCACCTGCACTMACCAGCTGGATCCGCCTCTGATATTGGAACATCCACCATACAGCCGCTTCATAACTTACCGTGGACAATGAAAATTAGTGCACAGTCCTTTTTTCTTGTCGTTTTCTCTCATTGTTTTAGTTTAACTATTACATGGGTTGGTGCTGATGGTACAGGGGCGGATCCAAGATTTTCTCAGGGAGGGGTGCGGGACACTCAGTCTGGGGTGCACCCCACAAAAATCATTACAAATTAAA